ACACATCCCTATATCCCAGAATATCAAGGCAGAAAATCCCACTGAATGTGGACTCAGATAACCCAGTTCAAAGTAGATATTGTGGGATTTTCTGCCTTGATATTCTGGGATATAGGGCTATGTGGAAGGGCCCTGGGAGATCTGATGCGTAATAGCAGAGTTATGGAAAGTTACTATTTGGACTCTATTGATATTGGTGGTTGGAGAAGGAGGAATTCTAGTAGTCGTAGTCCCCAAAAGTAACTTTTCTCATAAGGTTTGTTGGGAAGGGGCTGATGCTGGCAAGGAGAGACTTTGGGAGTTACTATCCAAACCCTCCCAATTGGGAAAAACCGGGGCCCCATCTACACTGAACATATTTGATTTCGCTGTGCAGATGATTGCATAGAAAATTCTGGAATCAGTGTGAGGCCCAGATAGTGATGACGCAACCCACAGAGCAGTAATGCGCATTAAGGGTTTTCTTCCCCTCACTTTTGTGAGATCCTGCTGTTTGGCAGCCACAGTTGAACCTAGCTTCAAACTGCGTTTAATGGTCATTGTAGAAGGGGCCCAAGTTGCGGAATTTTACGGATTTCCTCGAAATAATGTTTTATCTCTGGTATAGGCTGGATTTCAGAGGAAGGCAATAGCTAAACCTGGGCATGCCATACCTAAGAAACCCTTCTGATGTTCATGAGGTCTCCTTAAATTGATAAGTGAGTTGATGGCACCCAACCACATGAAAGCTCACATTGCTGTGAGCCCAACCGGGAAGGTCTAAATCAGGAGTCCACAAACTAAGGCCCCGGTCAGATACGGCCCTCCAAGGTCATTTACCTGGCCCTCACTCAGGGTCAACCTAAGTCTGAAACGACTTGAAAGCACACACCAATCTCCAGCCAAAATCAAGTGCACACTTCCCATTGAAATAGTAATAAGTTTATATTTGTTAAAATTGTTCTTCATTTTAATTATTGTATTGTTTTAAAGTGGGGTTATTTTTGCACTACAAATAAGATATTTGCAGTGTGCATAGGAATGCATTTTTTTTCCAAATTATAATCGGCCCTCCAACAGTTTGAGGGACTGTGACCTGGTCCCCTGTTAAAAGGTTTGAGGATCCCTGGTCTAAAATATGCCCCCTTCCCCGCCCCTAGACGGGTCCCTCTCATACACAGACAATAAGCCCTAACGCGTCTCAACCCCTCCTCATTTTTTTGTCTGTTCTTCCATTCCATTATGGAACCTCTTTCCATTTCAGACTTGGGTTTGAATCCTTATGCGCCAGGCAGGCCCGTAGCCAGGATTTCGATTGGGGGAGGTTGAGTTTGTTTGGGGGGGGGGGGGCGAGTCTGAGTGAAAGAGGGTCTACCCTAGCAAACCTTTTGTATCATTACCCCAATACCCCCATGCATATAGGATATATTGAGCATGGTGATCAGATCATGATATGAATAAACATAACAGTTTAAATAATGTACCAGTAAGGCCTTCTCGCGGACCACCATGAGAATTTCGGGGGGGGGGGGCTGAAGCCCCTCGCCCCCCCCCCCTACATACCTGGCGCCAGGCAACAGATGTACGAAACCCAAAAGGTTTCTTTTTTAAGGTCGTATTGGAATTCCACAATATTAGGCTGGAACTCCACTGCCATATAAGGCAGCCTGAACTGCATTATAAGGCCACTGTAGACTCATACAATGCAGTTTGAACTATTGGTCTGTTCTTTCTTGGTCTCTTAAAGACAACGGATTTCATTCCATTTATGCCATATTTAGCCTGAAAGGTACATCTCTTGGATCAAAGGTTATTGGAAACACCTTGAGGTGCATCCACACAGCTGAATAAAATCCCACATTTTCTGCTTTGATCTGGAATATATGGCAGTATGGACTCACATAAGAAAATGTTCATAACCCAGTTCAAAGCAAAAGTTGTGGGGCTTTCTGCCTTGATATTCTGGGTTGTGTGGAAGGGCCCTGAGAGATGTTGCAAAAACCTTCCCATGGGAATATTTTCTTGAATATTCTCAAAAATTCACGTATATTATGACATGGCTTGCACAAAATGCCCATTGTAAACAGGAGCTCGATACAAGCGCCCATTTAAAGCTGGTTCGAGTCACGTCTTTACCAGGCTTCAATTTCCAGCGTGGGGTGTGGAGAGAGAGAAAAAAGAGAGAGGTCCTGGCTTTGTCAAGAGACTCAGAAGAGAAAATCCCCCCTCCATGTTTTTATTGGTGTTTCCTGCAGAGGAAGATCAACACTAAGCCCCTTCCCTTCTCCTCGCAGACCACACCGACTGTACCACTTCTTCCCAGAGAATAGGGGGAGAAAGGATGTCATGCAAACAAATACTATTAATTAGTCAGTCATCACTGAAGGCTTTCAGTAGCCATTTCTATTTCACCTCCTTTCCTTCCCCAACTATGATTTGCTTTCAAAACAGGCTTAGCCTTCAGAAAAATAGCAATACAACCCATACCGTTGGGAGAAGGAGCCGGCCATAAACATCCTAATGCATCCTGCATTTTGAGGGTTTTATTTGATCAGTGGGGTGTGGATTTTGTTTTAGTTTGCTCCATGGCCAACATGGCTGCCCCGAAATTGGCATCCCAGATAATAAAATATATTTGTTTGGCTGTCATAGTTTGAAACTTGCACAAAATATATTTTTCCTATTTGTTGACTCGCATAATACGAAGTCAGTGGAACTACTCTAATGGGATCAAGCCAAGACTATTCAGGGTAATGGCTCCAATGCTTAGATGCAGTTAGGTCGGAGTAAACCCCATTGAAAGCAACGGAGTTTGCTCTGGGTAGATATGGGAAGGAGTACACAACATGCTTTGTTACCTGTAGTTTAGCCAAATTGATTTGTCTGCCTGTTTGTTCGTTTGAGAAGGGAGAGAGATGCCGAAGAAAATAAATTCCGATTTTATTTTATATAATATACCTTTCAATGATAAAATAAATTAAAGCATAAATAAGCTGCGGCTGTGGCGTTCCCCCTCACATACATGCAAGCATTTTCTTTGCCGTTCAATATAAGAATCCCTAGAAACCGTACATTTAAAACAAAGAGTTAGACATTTAAAACATTGTATTGTGAAAAATGAGGCTCAATAATAAGACTCTGCGAATGAGGATTTTAATGGGAAGAGTAGACTACTTGACAGAGATGTTTTCAGCCGGGAAAAGTCCCCAAGGTCTTGCCATCCCATATTTATTTCATCAGCACCATAGGATTCAATGAGATTTATTTCCAAGTAAATTGATTCGGGATTCCAGGCAAGTATGAAGCAGTCTGCCTGGGTTTGTAATGGTCGAGAGTTTCCATTCGCCTTGTTTCTAAATGCGTAAGACAATGTTCGACTAAATATGTTCAGAACAAGGATGTTTTCCCCACATGCGTTCAGGTATGATATATATCACAGACTTGTGCGAGCATGTCACATGCAATACATTGCAAAATATATGAAATATATTATCGGTTAAAATAATTCTTAGCACCTAGTCTCAGTCTAACCCATAAGGATTAAGAACACCCCCTCTCTTGCTCCCCCCCCTCTATATATGTATATTACAGTCGACGACCAGCACCAAAAGAAGACAAGATGTTTTATATGCCAGTGTACATACAGCTTAACTCTGGGAAGAAATCCGAATTCAAACGAGGGAAGCGGAGGAGGCAGAAAAACGAGCCAATCTTCCTGGAGCTCGATAGGAAGGGGAGGTGGAGGTTCAAGTCATGGAACAAGGGGAGGGTCCCCCTTATATTGCATATAATTCTGGCTATCTTTATCTAGGAAAAGGTCTTCAATGTTCCTGTCTTCTTGTTACATGCCTTCACGTCGTTTCTGACTCATGGCGATCCTAAAGCAAACCTATCTCAGTTTTTTTTTTCTTGACAAGATTTGTCCCTTGCCTTCTTCTGAGACTGAGAGACTGAGGTTTCAATGTCCGAGCAGAGAGTTGAACCGAATTGAATCCTGGTCATAGTCCAACGCTTAAACCATGCTGGTTCTTCATACCAACTCCATATCCTTATTTTAAACATTCACACAGATAACTTGTTCTTGCAGCTCAAATATCACACACAATGGGTGTGTGTATCTATATCTATATCTAGAGATATAATTAGATATAGATATATAGATATATCTGCAGAGACTCACACAGATACACGAATATCCTGCTTTCTCTTTCCTTACCAAAGGCGGAAGTAATACACTCTATCTTGCATGCACATTTTCTCTATGCTCGCACACACACACACAAGTTACATGTGCATCTCCGCATACACATAAATATAGATCTTGGTTTCCGCTTTATTACCAAATGCAATAATATATTCACTCACTATTTCAAAAACCTTGCATACACACATGTGGTATGTGTGCATGTAACTACATACAAAAAATACACCTTGGTTTTTGTTTTGTTACGAAATGCAGCAATATACTCCCTCTCTCAAAAACCCACTATTACACACGTTGTGTGGGAATCTATGCACCTTGATTTCTGCTTTATTACCAGTAACTCCACCCAGACAAATACTGAATGTGTATTTATGTATGTATATGTGTATATCTCTATGTGTGTACATATTACATTATACACACACACATATGAACGATCTACTCCCCACACAGAGAACTAAACAAAGGCTGAATTTACAGTGGCATATAATGCAGATCTACTCGTATAATATAGTCAGTTCAAACTGTTTTATATGCCAGTGTACATCCAGCTTAACTCTAGGAAGAAATCCGAATTCAAACGAGAAAAGCGAAGGAGGCAGAAAAAGCGAGCCAATCTTCCTGGAGCCCAATAGGAAGGAAGGTGGAGGTTCAAGTCCTGGAATAAGGGAAGGGAGGGTCACCCTTATACTTTGCCATCGGGGCAGCCCCCTCCTCCTCTCCTTCCCCCCCTCCGGTTGCCCTCGGTGTCCCGTGACTGGAAAGACCCCTTCTCTCTCTCCCTCCCTCCCTCTCAACTCCCCCCTCCTCTTCCTCCCCTTTCCTCCTCTATGCCTTGGGTCTCTCTCTTTTTCTCGCCCCATTTTGAGGACTTCTCTTGCTCCGAAATGCCGGCCGCCCAAAGGCGCTTCTGGGCCGCCTTGGGCCTCCTCGTCCTCCTCCGGCCCTCCTGGGATCCGGCCTGCCGTCTTTAAGCCCCGATGGAGCGGAGTGGAGTGCTGCCCCGCGGCGCGTGGCTGGAGATGTGCGAGCGGAGCCTGTGCCGCCCGGGTTGCGTGGGCTCCCTGCTGAACCTGCCCACGGCCCCCGCCCCCGAAGCCTTCTATTTCCCGGGGTTGAGGCCCAACGGGGGCCACCCCGCGCAACTGCCCTTCCCGCGGAGCTCCCTCGCGTGGACCTGCGGCGGATCAAGCCCCACGGCGGGCGGTGGAGGGGGAGTCGGGGGCCAGGCTTTGGGCAGCTCCTCGCCCCAGTCTCTTACGCCTTACCTGCCCCGCCACGGGACCCACAAGTACTACGCGGAGGAGGAGGAGGAACAGGAGGAGGAGGAAGCTTGGGTTGGGCAGGACCTGATGGCGAAGAGGCTGCCTTCTCCGGCCAAAATGCCCAAAGAAGAAGCCAGGAGGAGATGGCCCTCCGCCGCCGTTGGCCTTTTGGACACGGAGCCCGGCGCCTCGGAGCTTCGCCGCGCCGCCCTCAACTTGAACCTGACCCTGCCCGGCCTCCGCGCCTCCTTGCCGCCCCAGGGTAGGACAGCCGCCATCTTTCCCGGGGGGCCCCGGCATCTTCCAGAGAGGAGGAAACGCCCCAAGCCCCGGCTTCCTTCCAGAAAGGCTCTTTCCCTCTCCCTTCGGCCCGTCTACACTGACTATTCAATGCCCTCTTGAACCATGTGTTTTCAAACTCAATGGAAATCCTGGAACCTCCTTGAGGCCCGGATGCACATTGAGGGTTTTCTTTCCTGCAGTTTTCATGTGGGAGTTGTTACCTGGCTGCCACATTTTGAAGTGCATTCAATAGTTTGTGTAGATGGGGGTTTCTGACTAGGGGTTTTCCTCGCTGAAGAAAATGCAGCCGTCTAACAAAGTGCCCCCAGTTGTAGGGTGTTGTGTGATTTCGGGCTGTATGGCCGTGTTTTTGCAGTATTTTCCCCTGAAGACGCCAGCCACAAATGCAGAGGAAACGTCAGGAGAAAGTGCTGCTATAACATAACTATACAGCCCAGAAGTCTTATAACATCCCTGTGATTTCAGCACGAAAGCACCTCTTCTGGCCTCTTTGGTCATCCGCGATTCCTTGGACCCAGAGCAAGCCAGGCGAGAAGGGATCTGTCCCGACTTCTCTCTCCCCCTCTCGCCTGCTGACCCACCCACGCGTGTCGTGTCTGTTGCAGGTTCGCCTTGGTGCCCAGCCCCAGGGAGGTCCGCCAGGAAGAAGCGAAAGCCTTACACCAAGCAGCAGATCGCCGAGCTGGAGAGCGAGTTCCTCCTCCACGAGTTTATTAACCGCCAGAAGAGGAAAGAGCTGTCCAACAGGCTGAGCCTGAGCGACCAGCAAGTCAAGATCTGGTTCCAGAACCGGCGCATGAAGAAGAAGCGCGTGGCCCGGCGCGAGCAGGCCTTGGAGCTCTACTGAGGGGAGCGAGGCCAGGGCGCAGGCGCGCACCCGAAGGAGGGAAGGAAGGAGGGAGGGAAGGAAAGAGGGAGGGAGGGGCCGCCCCTGGGCTCGTCCGGCCCCTTAATCGTGAACTTGCCTCTGGACGAGGCTCCCTGCAGCTAACTAAAAAGATGCCTTGCCTTTGTGGCACAAAGATGAAGGGACACATCCTGGAGCAGTTGTTGCAATGGCAGGAGAACCCTGCTTGCTTCTCCCCTTTTTGTCTCTCTTCCTGGTGGACTACTTGGACTAGGAACAACTCAAACGTATGAAACACTATTTTTTTTAAAAAAATACAAATAAAAACAATCTTGCGTATGAACCAGAGAGAAAGAGAAAGAGGAAACGGAAATGGGCCCGCTTATCAGTGAAGCCCAGAATATCTCCAAAACTACTCTTGGAGAATCTCTCTTTCTTTCTCTCTGACTGGATCTACATTGGAATGTACTGCAGTGTATTTTGTGTGTATTCCGGTCTGTATGGCCATGTTCTAGAAGCATTCCCTCCTGACGTTTCGCCTGCATCTATGGCAGGCATCCTCAGAGGCTGTGAGGTCTCTGAGAGGTTGTGAGACCTCTGAGGTTGTGAGACGTCTGAGGATGCCTGCCATAGATGCAGGCGAAACGTCAGGAGAGAATGCTTCTAGAACATGGCCATACAGACCGGAAAACTCACAGCAACCCAGTGATTCCAGCCATGAAAGCCTTCGATACGTAGTGCAGTGTAGTTTAAACTGTAGCATAGGTAAAAGTGAAGGCAAAGGTTTTCCCCTGACATGAAGTCTAGTCCTGTCCGACTCTGGGGTGTAGTGCTCATCTCCATTTCTAAGCCGAAGAGCCCGGAGTTGTCCATAGACACCTCCATGGTCATGTGGCGGGCATGACTGCATGGAGCACCTGGCGTGGTACCTATTGATCTACTCACATTTGCATGTTTTCGAACTGCTAGGTTGGCAGAAGCTGGGGCTGACAGCAGAAGCTCACCCCGCTCCCCTGATTCGAACCTGCGACCTTTCGGTCAACAAGCTCAGCAGCACAGCGCTTTAACCCGCTGTGCCACGGGAGCTCCGAACTGTACCATAGGTCCATATAATGCAGTTTGAAAGGCAGTATATGGCCAATGTAGATCTATATAATGCAGCCTGAACTGCAGCGAACTGCGTTATATGGCTCTACGCTTGACTCTGCTCCTTTAATTGCTTAAAGGTCGTTGAAGCTTCTCCTCTGCTGAAAGTGCTATATTTTGTTGCTGCTTTACTTTTAATGCCTGTTCCTTTTTTAAAACCCCAACACACCGACCCATATAATGTAGTTCAAACTGCATTGCATTATATGGCAATGTAGATCCAACCTCTCTGCCTCCCTTCTCATTCTGTCTCATTGTGTGAGACAGAAAAACGCTTAACGTGCTGAGCTGCCTTGACTGTAACAAAGGCTCGTCGAGGAGTGGTTTCACTTCCTCCATTATGGATTTGTTTTGGATTTGATTCCAATGCAGAAATCTCCCTGGGAGAATCACCTTCAAAAGCCCGATCGAGGGAGTGGGGGGAAGATGGGGGGCTTTCTGCTTGTCTCCAAGGCCCCTTCCAAACAGCTGGATACAATTCCACATTATCTGCTTTGAACTGGAATATATGGTAGTGTGGACTCAGATAACCCAGTTCAAAGCAGATATTGTGGGATTTTCTGCCTTGATATTCTGGATGATGTGGCTGTGTGAAAGGGTCCCAAGACGTAGAGGTTGTGTGGGTTTTGGGATGTAAATATGTGTCCTTTTGGAAACCGCCTATTCTTTTGACTCTGGAAGGGCAATTTGTTCCAAAGCGTGGAGCAAACGTTGTGGGTGAATTGTTGTAGGATTTTTCGGGCTATATGACCATGTTCTAGAGGCATTTTCTCCTAACGTTTCGCCTGCATCTATGGCAAGCATCCTCAGAGGTAGTGAGGGCTATTGGAACTAGGAAAAAAGATTGCCCCAGGCACTGCCAGATCATCAAATGCTAATCAAGGTGGTCAGTTGAAACATTAACACCTAGCTCCAACAGACAAGAGTTTTTTGTCCCACCCTGGTCATTCCACAGATATATAAACCCGTTTTCCTAGTTCCAATAGACCTCACTACCTCTGAGGATGCTTGCCACAGATGCAGGCGAAACGTCAGGAGAAAATGCCTCTAGAACATGACCATATAGCCCGAAAAAACCTACAACAACCCAGTGATTCCGGCCATGAAAGCCTTCGACAATACGTTGTGGGTGGAATCAGTCCACATCCAGGTCTACTGTTTCTCCGGGCCCTTCCACATATCCCTATAACCCAAAATATCAAGGTAAGAAAAATCCCACAATATCTGCTCTGAACTGGGTTATCTGAGTCCACACTGCCCTTATATTCCAGTTCAAAGCAGATAATGTGGGCTTTTATTCAGCTGTGTGGAAGGGGCCTCTGTCTCTCTATTTGCACACACATTCAGGAAAGCCTTCTCTTGGAGGCTCCGAAGAAAGCAGCGACGCCACTGCTCCCGGATTTCAAGGAGATTTGTTTTAGCCCAGGAATCCACACTAGGGTCCTCTTCGCCTCGTGGAATCACTTCTGGGGCCTTTCTTTGTCCTCCAAGGCCCCACACCATACTAGATACTGTTACATGGCAAGGGAAGGAAGGAAACTCTGACGGAGTGTGTTGTGGTGGGCCAGTAAATAAACTTTCATCCCTCTTCCCCACGCCCTGCTTTGTCAAAAGGGAAGGAAAACAGACTTGGGTTTTCCCTCAGACCAAGTGGAAGTGGGTCTTGTTTTTTGATCCCTGCGAGGAGGAAGCACCAAACGATACTTTCTCCCCCTCCCTCCCTCCTTCTGTCTGTCTGTCTGTCTCTTTCTCTCTCCTCCCTTGGATCCACCCCATTCCCCCCTCACCCTCCTGCCAAGGCCATTCTGCCATTTGTCCAAGTTGCCCTTGGCTCTCGCTCCTTCCCTCCCTCCCTCCTTTGACTCCCCTTCTAGCCTTCCTTTCGTGTTTGGCTTGACTTTGGCCTTGCCCAAAGCTTACGCGAGAAATGAAAGGCCGACCGGACACGAAAGGACCCACGAAGCGAGACAACCGGATCCCTGGGTCCTGCAGCTCTTTCCTCCCTCCCGTGTTTTCCCCACGCGACCGGTTTCTGCTCCATTTTTTCAAGCATCTATTTGGGAATCGAGATTACGAACACAATCACCAGCCTTTGCCAAATTCTTCAAGGTCGGGGTGACAGCCTGCTTTCTAGCTCCTTTTGTGTGGTCCTGGAAAAGAAGTCTGGTTTGGTTGCTGGCTATTATGCTGGAAAGGGGAATGAATACTTAAGATGGAAAACTTTCTTATGTAAAGACATTAAAGAGGGGTAATTTAATTTAATCTCTTCCCCTTCCCATCCAATCCTGGATTTCGAAAAAGTTGAAATTATGACATATATAATTAATTATACATGCCATGTTATGACATGTTAAAATTACACAGAAATCGTCCACACGATTCTGGGAGTGGATAAATTAAAAATAAAATCCTATCAAGTGTTAATGGGGAGACTCGTTTAATTTTCATCCTTGACATTTTCTCTAAAGGTATTTCTCAAACCAAGCGTTGTGTGGAAGAGACATCATGTAAATGCTAACAGTGACATTATGCCTCGACACAACGCTTTGTTTTGAGAAATATCTTTAGAGAAATGTAAAGCTTTCCTATTATTTAATACAATTAATACATATGAGTAATAATTCGAGGCGAGCTATGGACGTTCTTCTTTCAAGGACGGTTTGCCAAGTTCATATTATGCATTCGTCTTTTTTGGTCTCAAAAATAAGTATTCACGATTACTTTTATTCAAATCGCAGGTATTTGAATCTGGATTTTTTAATGAAGAGGAAAGAGCTTTAATTTCCCTACTTTTTTGCTGATTTTTAAAAAAATTATATATTTTATGATGCTTCAAAACGGAAAAAATGTAGTTCTGGAAAGCGATTGCTATAATTCAGCCAGAATTAAGACGAAATAATCTGTAAATTAACCCATTTAATATTACTAAGTTAATTGAAATTTCGACTTCCAGGTTTCACTCTAAAATAATGGGGAAAAGCTGTGGAAGGTTTGAAAATATCAAAAAATTAGATTGGATTTATTAAAACCAATAACGTCGAGAAAATCTGCTTTTTTATATTCACATTTTCTCCATAACAGCTTACATTTGTGTTGTCTAAGCTTTCGTGGCCGAAATCACTGCGTTGTTGTGAGTTTTCCCGGCTGTATGGCCATGTTCCAGAAACATTCTCTCCTGATGTTTCGCACGCATCTATGGCAGGCATCCTCAGTTTCCAACAGACCTCACAACCTCTAAGGATGCCTGCCATATATGTGGGTGAAACGTCAGGAGAGAATGCTTCTGGAACATGTCCATACAGCTCGGAAAACTCACAGCAACCCATTTTACATTTTCCAATAGTATTTCTGGCTAAAAATGAACAACAAAAGTAGGCGGGTCTTTTTCCGCCTACTTTTAACTCTGGAAATTAAATGACTTCTTGCAAACCTTGACTTTTTTAGATTTGCAACAAGATCTCCTAACAGATGATAAAAATAATAAGGCACTATTTGGCGAATTCGAAGTGAAGTGATATTAAAAATGTGGCAGAGAAAAAAAACCAAAGCATATATCCGTTATGTACCGAGGGGTAGTTATTGTATTCACGTATTTTTATTATTATTTAAATCAGCGTAATACATAGGTCTTGGTTGACCACGCTTTATGTGTTCAAAAAAACTTCTGATTCATTCTGAGATGTAGAAACACGCCATGTAAACAAAGGCAGGTAAGCAGCTCCACAACTATGTATTTCCTTCTCTAGGCGAAGCTACATCCTCTGCTTTGCAATGGATGATGTGGGTGCAGACACCAAAAAACATCGGGGTGTAGATGGTTAGGGGTAATTTTGGCGAAAGTCAACTGAATCGATAATAGAGGGAAGATTCGACTCACTATTGGGTTGCTGTGACTTTTCCAGGCTGTATGGCTGTATGGCCATGTTCCAGAAGCATTCTCTCCTGACGTTTCGCCCACATCTATGGCAGGCATTCTCAGAGCTTGTGAGGTCTGTTGGAAACTAGGCAAGAGGGGTGACTCACTATTATTTCCTCTCAAACAATCCTGGTTGCTTTGCAATTAGGAACAAAAGCGTTTGGGCTCAGTATAGACACACAAATATTTACTCATGCATACAAGCGTATTCGATTTTTGGAATCTAAGGGCACATTTTTGGAAAATATTTGTACCTGTTTTACCGTTGCAAACTTATTTATTTTCCAAGTAAGCACTGCTCTAGGCTTGTTTATCCCAGGTAATCTTTCATTGTAATCTTATGAGGGACATCCGTAAAGAATGGCAGCCTTGGTTGCCTCTGAATTTAGAAAAAAGTCACATTTTTCCACATTTTCCCCCAATCCACGACTAAAATGCTCCAGAAATGGTTCACCATCGCTTTCCGACGTCTAAAAGAGTGAAATAAACTCGGGTGCGTACTGTTGCTGGTGTAGATGAGGGATATTTGGATGCTTTTGTGTCTGGGTTGGTGTTGTGTTGGGTGGATGGGTAAGGGGGTGATGTACSCCCCCCCCCAGCTTTCTTTCTCTCTGGGTGGCTCTCACACACAATGGTGCGCATCCCCAGCACGGCCATCCACGCAGGATAGTCCAGCTCCATCCTTGACACGCATGTGTACCTACACCTCCTCCTCCGAGTCAGACCCGCATCTCACTGGCGTCCGGGAGCGGTCCTTGGCTCTGATAGGCTGAGCTCCGGCCGCTTCAACAAATGCCTGGGAGTTTGATAAGGCGAGAGGAACGTCCCCCGGATTCTTCCAAATGGGCTCTGGGCGCTTTTGTGTTTCCTAAAAGAGCATAAATAATTAAAGTTTGGCAGAAGGGGGGGCGGGGGAGCGAGGGAGCGAGCGAGKGGGGGGAGGCTTCCTTGCAGCACCGTAGTGGCAATAAATGAAATGACTCAGAATCGCTTCTTCCAGTCAGTTTTTACGAGAGCTGCCAGACAGTGTCTGTTCACGTTCTCCAGATAACTAGGGGCGCCATAACAAAGTTAAGGTCAAGTTAGTGCCTTATCTTGGGTGGCACAAAATTGCGGCACCGTCTCCAGCCGGACCAGACACATCTGCTTCCTCCTCCTCTTCTTCTTCTTCCTTTCCCCTCTTCCTCGCTCTGGTCTTCTTCTCCCCACCCAACCCCACGGGCGACGAGATGCCAGGCGCCCTCGTTTTCCACGGAAGCTTTAATTTGGGGGAGAGATGTCTCCGGGAACAAAACATCGGCTGGTTCCACGAGGCTGCAGACCTTCCAAGACGACACACGGTAAAGCCCCCCCCCCCCGGAATGAAGGGAGTGGGTTTGGGAAGGAGAGGGCTTGGCTTTGCAAATGGTCGACGTTTCGAAGTTTGAAAGAGGAGGTGGTCGGTTGAAGTGCTTCAGGTTTCAGGCTGTGGAGGGGTTGAGAGATTGACCCCACCCAGGTTCGCTCGTTTCACCCTTGTTGGTCGGAGAAACCCTCCCAGTTCTGCTTTGTTTAATTCGGATGGTGCTTATTAAGATATCGTGATGGTTGGAGTGTCCTTGAACTTGGAATGGTGGAATCTGGTTGAGTCTTGCTAAGGCGTCCTTGAAACCCACGGAGAGGGTCGTGGTTAATTTGTTGTTGGTTTTTTTTCTGAGATGTGGTTGTATTTGGGGTGAGATGGGGAAGATTTGCATTGGGGTTGTCTATGGCCGTCTCCTCGTGGGCTTGGAGTGGGCGAGAGAGAGAGACCATGCAGGCGAAGGAGGTCTTCTCTTGTTCCATTGCTAAAGGAGGCGCAGGAGCCATCTTTGCTGCGCAGTCAACGTTTGGGGGAGGGAGGGGGAGGGAGGAGGGAGGGAGAGGGAGTCCATCCATTGCAGCAAAAACCAGAGCGCAGAAACCAACGATGCGCATTCAAACGAAAGGGGGTGACACTCTGCATCTCCTAAAGTGTTGTGTGAGGTCTGGTGCCTCTCACAGTGGTGCATTTGTTTCCTGGAGAGGTGAACACTGGCGCCATACTAGCAAGGAAGCCCACCAGTATAATGTGAGCCGTTGGTAGACCTTTTGGTCGGAGGTGTGAATTATTGGGTTAGTGAGTTTTCCGTGCTGTATGGCCATGTTCCAGAAGCATTCTTTCCTGACGTTTCGCCTGCATCTATGGTAGGCATCCTCAGTTGAGAATGTTTCTGGAACATGGCCATTCAGCCCAGAAAACTCACAGCAACCCAGTGTTTCGACAACACGGTGTGAATTATATCAGGGGCCATATTCGTTCTCTCTCCTTTATTTAAACCTCCCTCTATTTTCGAAATAGAAAAGAAGCAATTCAGATTTTGAGATTGGTTTGGCTAGGACATTATTTTTATATCGACCACTGGACATTATTTCTGCTGCCTGTTTAGAATTGGGCGCCAAAGAGGCATTAACGCCTCAGCCAGTGGCTGCAAATGGTAACCAGGATGCATTTCCTCCCTCCCTTTTCTCACTAAAATGCGTACACTGCTGTTGGAATATATTTTGATTTATCCCAGCCAGTAAACAACCCCCGATTTCTGCCTATTCCTGTGCTGCTGTTCATCACATAACATAATACAGTCTTCGCCTCTCGTTCTCCTTCCTGTTCCTCTGCGTGTTGGTATTACACAGATAAATAACATGCACAATTGCGCCAGCCTTTTGCAGGCTGGAAAGACTCTCAAACAAATCCAGTAAGATTTTCAATACACTCTAAAGCTCCTTCCACACAGCTGAATACAATCTCACATTATCCACTTTGAAGTGGAATACATGGCAGTGTGGACTCGGATAATCCAGTTCAAAACAGATATTGTGGGATTTTCTGCCTTGATGTATTGTCGAAGGCTTTCATGGCCAGAATCACTGGGCTGTTGTAGGTTTTTCCGGGCTATATGGCCATGTTCTAGAGGCATTTTCTCCTGACGTTTTGCCTGCATCTATGGCAGGCATCCTCAGAGGTAGTGAGGTGATTTTCTGCCATGATATTCTGGGATAAAGAGCTGTGTGGAAGGGCCCTCAGATAACCCAATTCAGAGCAAATATTGCGGGATTTTCTGCCTTGATATTCTGGGTTCTAGGGCTGTGTGGAAGGGTCCTCAGATAACACAGTTAAAAGCAGATATTGTGGGGTTTTCTGCCTTGATATTCCGGGTTATATAGCTGTGTGGAAGGGCCCTTTGTGTCAGAACCGAACAGGGTTGTTTTAATCCGCAGCCGGAAAGACTTTGTCGTCAAGGGCGTTTCAAGGTTGAACCGCGAAGGTTTCTGCTTTCTTTCTTTTTCTTTTTCCTCTTTTCGTAAAGTCATATATAGAGCCTTGAAAGCACATATTTTCTCTCTCCTTTGTCCTACTTTTCTCATCTCTACTCCAGGATTAATTGTTAATAAATTCAAGTAAATAGAGATTCTCTCTCACTAGGAGCATTCAGGATGATAAGAATTTGATTTATTTCTCATACAGCCTCCTGGAAAGGACTCAGAGGAGGAAATTTGTACATTTGCGGGTTGTTGTTGCGTTTGTGGCCGCTTGTGTCTCTTCTTCGGCCGAGGGTCTTGTTGTTTAAACTTGACATTGCACTATGAGCAAGAGAAGAAAGAGAGGGTCGGCCTTGCAGAGATGTTTGGATAGTGTTGCCTGTTGCCAGAAGGATTTTCTCTTTCTCTGATGGGATGCAGCGGGATGTGCATTTCTCTGTGTGTTATTTAATTTTTCTGCCTTATTACATTCTCTTGGGAAGCCTAGCAGCCAAATAAGGGAGGGGGTGATTTGAAGAAGCCATTGCAAATGCGCTAGCGAGAAACATGGACTGTGTGACTCTCTGTTTGGAAAATGTCCCTTCTCCTTCCCCCCCTCCCCAAAAATATCATGATCTCCCCCTCCTTTATCTCCTTTATCTCCCTTTATCTCCTTCAAATGACACTGATCGTTGCCTGAGCTGAAAACCGTGGCATTTAGCTATTGATTGGGTCTTCTGCTTCCAGAAACGAATGGCTTTGCTTGGGATTCATACGCCCCACCCAAAGATGTCTGATGTAACCTCGTGTTTTGCGCGCCCCAAGGCTCCCACTTGCTGAAACGGGGAAGACATCCCCAGACACGGGGGAGCCAGCCCTCTTTCCACCCCTTCCCTCTTTCTCCTTCTCTATTTTTTCCACACAGTGAAACCAGAGTAATGTTTGGGCTTCTAGGAAAGGAAGGGAGGGGAAGCAGCAAGGCCACTGCGCCGGGTGGAGAGTTTTTGGTCTGGGAAAGTAGATGCTGCAAATCAACCAAGGAAGGACCTAGACCTGAGGGGAGTTAAGGGGCCAGGAAATGGGGGAGAAGCCTTTTTTTTTGCCCCAGGAACAGCTTGTAGCTTTCAACTCTTCTTCCCATACTGGAGATTGAGGAGTGTGGAGCAACAATCCAGTCAATGTGATGCGTACTGTGAAGGAAATATGCCTCAATTCTGAGGAATATGAAGAGGAATAATCTGTCACCTTCCTGGTTGCATTCCCAATCATGGCTGGTTTTGGAAACAAGTGAGGAGAGGACATGCAGGCATACAGAGGAGGGCGAACTATTCCTTCCTACTTACATGGGGACTGTGCCCTTTCCTTTTTCTTTCTGTCTCTCTGTCTTTCTCTGCTTCTGGAGGGTGGCCTGGGTGTCATTGAATGTGTCCTGCAGGCAGACTGGGTTTGTTGCTGTGTGGAAGGGAGCACCTGGACGACAAAGATGGGACGCCCAGGTGATCTGCTGATCTCCTGCCCTACCTCTAGCTCCCCATCTCCCCAGGGCTGGTGAAGGGAGGGGGGAGAGAGAGGAGGGGCTGGAGAAAGGAAGGGTGGAGGGAAGAGCTGGGAATGGTCCTATTTGTCCAAACGAATGTGTGCCTTGAGGCTGGCTGGTTGGGTGGGCGGTTGAGTGAGTGAGTGGGTGACTTGGGAAGGGTTTTTGGCGGAGGAGAGTGGGCAGCAAGGCAAAGCAAGGCAGGCAAGGAGGACGAGAAGGCGGAGAGGCTCAAGGAGGAGAGGGGGGGGGTCTGATATAGATATAAGGACATTTCTCCCTGGGCTCCGTCACGTGACACAATTACCCCTCGAATCAATCAAGATGAATTGCACGTCAGCAGCTCACGGTGGGATTTCCCCCCCTTCCTGCCTCTCCTGGAGCTCCTTTAGCTTCTCCTCCTTTAGCTTCTCCTCCACTTCCTCCTCCTTCTTCGGGGCTGCTCCGGCTGCCGCCCACTCTCTCTCCGGGGGCAGATAGATGGGGCTCCTTGGCCAGCTCCCGGGCGCCGCTGGGCTCTGTGGCTGCTGCTGCTGCTGCGGTCGCTGCTGCTCCTTGCTGGTGGAGGAGGAAGAGGGGGAGGAAGAGGAGGAGGAGGAGGAGAAGACATGAGCGACTTTGACGACTGCGGCAGCCACGGGGCCTCCAGCATGTACCTCCCCACCGCCTACTACGTCTCCCCCTCGGATTTCCCCAGCAAGCCCCCATTCCTGCCCCAGTCGCCCTCCTGCCAAATGGCCTTCCCTTACGCCTCCAACCTGCCGCCCCACGTGCAACCAGTGCGCGAGGTGGCGGGGTTCAGGGACTACACGGGAGGAAACGCGGGAGACGGCGGCGGCGGGGCGCGGGGCGGCAAGTGGCCCTACCGAGGGGGCGCCGTCACTTCCAACTACGGCTCCTCCGGCGGCAGCTACTACGAGGAGGTGATGCAGGGCAGGGGGGACTTCCTGTCTCCGGCGGCGGCGGCTGCGGGCCCCGGGCGGAGGGTGGAGGTCCTCTTCAAGGCGGACCCCGTCTGCGGGGGCGCCCACCGGGGCCCCCACTTCTACCACGCCGCCAACTTCTACAGCGCCGTGGGCAGGAACGGCATCCTCCCGCAAGGCTTCGACCAGTTCTACGAGGCCAGCCAAGGGGTCACGGCGTACCCGGAGACCCCGGAAGGAGGCGAGAGGAAGGGCGACCCCAAGGCCTCGGGCGGCTCTCCGGCTCCCAGCCAGGAGAAGAAGGGGGCAGCCAGCCCCGGAGGAGGCGGAGGCAGCGGCGAGGAGGTGACCTCGGGGGAGGCCGAGAAGAAGACCCCTGGATCAGGTGAGAAAGAGGAGGAGGAGGAGGAGGAAGAGGAGGAGGAGGAGGAAAGGCCTTGGGAACCCGGGCTGCTTTTGCTTTCTTAAAAGGGAGAAGACAACACTGTGGAGAAAGAGGAAAGGGCACAGGCTCGGCCTGATGCTTTGGGCTGTCTTTGGCTTTTCCCTTTCTCCTTTTTTTTAAATTGAAGGAGGAGGGAAGGGGGAGGGCGCACCAGGCCACCCCACTTTGTCAAGCCCCAGTCCTTTCTCTCTCTTCCCTCTTCCAATTTTTACGTGCCATTTTATAAGCACCCACAGGGCTTTTATATATCCTATAAGGTTTCCTCGGCCGCTATAAAGCGTGTTTACGATAGGAAACCCGTTGCGATGGGCTTCGAGGTAGGCTGGGAGGAGGGTGGGGATTTGGGACGGATTTGGAGAGTTTGTGGAGCAATAAAGTGATGATGGTGGTATCGGTGGTGAGGATAAGGAAAACGGCAACCATTTTATCAATTCAGTAATTTATTACAAATTTGCTTTTCCAATATCCAATTTGCTTTGGAAAGAGAAGGAGAGTTTTCCTTCCGGAGCCATTTAATTGCAAAATAGGAGTTCCCAAAGGAGCAGAGGCGTGTTGTCGGAGTGAAGTTTTGAACTACTCAGGGCCCTTCCTCACAGCCCTGTATCCCAGAATATAAAGGCAGAAAATTCCATATTATCTGAGTGTGGACTTAGATAACCCAGTTCAGATATTGTGGGATTTTCTACCTTGATAATCTGAAACATAGGGCTGTGTGGAAGGGCCCTCAGTCAAGACACTTTCCTCTGCACACTATAAAGCTATGTCTTCCCCTTTCCATTCTTCCCTTATTATTATTATTATTAATTGTTCTCTTCCCAATCCACTTTGCCAAAGTTTTCTCCAGAGAGGCCCAAACTCCACAGCTGTTCTCAGGGAGTGAGGGAAAGGGCTGTTTTCGCCCTGCAGGAGGGCGGCTTGACAGAGCTGGACTCAAGTCCACGTTCTTGTGCATGATGGTCGCTTTTGGGAAAGGGTCTGAATGGGGCCACTGGCTTCACTTTCGTTTTTCTCCTCTTTCCTCCCCATCCCAAATGTCCAGCCCCTCCTCAGCGGTCCCGGAAGAAGAGGTGCCCTTACACCAAGTACCAGATCAGAGAACTGGAACGGGAGTTCTTCTTCAACGTCTACATCAACAAAGAGAAAAGACTCCAGTTGTCTCGGATGCTGAACCTCACGGATCGACAGGTTAAAATATGGTTCCAAAACCGAAGGATGAAAGAAAAGAAACTCAACAGGGATCGACTGCAATACTTCACGGGGAACCCCTTGTTTTGAGGGGGACCCACGGGGATGGGATGGATGGGGGAAAGGAAGGAATGGGCGCCCCCTTCCTTCTCGGCCTGCCTGCCCCACCGGGCACCAGGAGGTTTACAGGACACTCGATCCGAGGACAGAGCTTTCGTGGGCAACGACTCTGGGCTCTTCCCAACAACCTTTGCCTGCCACCCAGGAGATCTCGGGGGTTTGGTGGAGAAGCAGGATCCCCCACAAGGGGAAACGGGGTAAATCCAACACTCCCTTCTAATGTTGTCGTGTGTTGTTGTTGTTATTCTTATTCTATTGTTATTATTTTGTTTTTTAAACTGAACAATCATTCGTGGTTTGGATTCCTTTCCCTCCATCAGGGTTGGGATAAAAGCCGGTTCCAAATGTATGGAAGGACATCAAGGGACCCCACTTTCCTCTCGGTTGGCTTTGAGATGGGGATATTCTTCTTTCCCCTTTGTTTTTTTTAAGTGGAAAAAGGGCAATATACCCTGGATATATATCTATACACTGGTAAAGATATACATCTGTGGTTGGTATGGTAATTGTTTTAAAAAGCATGGGACGCTGTCTTGTTCACGTGAATAAATGGATGGTAGTACAGTTGGAAGCCTGGTCTTTCGTGTGTGCCATAGCTCAAGGACTTCCTTGGTTTTGCTCCTGCCTGTGTCCAAGGGGAATGAAGGGGTTCAGAGTGAAAAGCTTGGTCCTCCTTCCTTCCACCCCATCCTTTCCCCCCACATCTTTCCCAAAACAAACCCATCTACCCCTGTTCCTTAATTCGGAAAATCCGTAGAAAGAGGTCAACCACGCTGCAGTTGTAACCAGGTGGCGCATTGAAGGCAGATGCAACATGGCCGCCTGGAGACCACCAATATTGGGGATAGAAAAGGGTAGGGTATTCCTCCTTTCCAAAGGAAGAGCAGGGCCCTTTAAAATAAGACAACTTTAGGTTCGGGTTGCTGTGTGTTTTCCGGGCTGTATGGCCATGTAATATTATATATTAATAATATAATAAGGATAAGACAACCCTTTAGGTTCCCTTGTCAACCCAGGACTGAAACTTAAATGTAGGGCTCGGGTTGCTGTGAGTTTTCCGGGCTGTATGGTCATGTAATTTTATATATTAATAATAAAATAAGAATAAGACAACCCTTTAGGTTCCCTTGTCAGCCCAAAACTGAAGCTTGAGTGTAGAGCTTGGGTTGCTGTGCGTTTTCCGGGCTGTATGGCTATGAAATATTGTATATTAATAATATAATAAGAATAAGACAACTTTTAGGTCCCCTAGTCAACCCAAAACTGAAGCTTGAGTGAAGAGACCCTTCCACACAGCTGATTAAAATCTGCTTTGAACTGGAATATATGGCAGTGTGGACTCAGATTACCAAGTTCAAAGCGGATATTGTGGCATTTTCTGCCTTGAGATTCTGGGGGCCCTTCCATACACCCCTATATCCCAAAATATCAAGACAGAAAATCCCACAATATCTGTTTTGAAGTGGATTATCTGAATCCACACTCAGATAATGTGGGATTTTCTGCCTTGCTATTCTGGGATATAGGGCTGTGTGGAAGGGCCCATGGTCCATCGCATTCAAGGAAGGAAGTGTTTGACCCCAGTAAACGCAAAGGGCTCATAAAAGTAATATTCTGAATCGACCCAAGTAGTAGGTGTGTTTTAAATAAAATAAATAAATCCCAGTCTAGTTTAATCTAGTTTTTAAATCCCAGTCTAATATGATTGAGCAGGGATAAGGAAACAACTGAGTGCTTCTACTTTTTGCAGTGACACCATTTCTGCCTCCCAAACTAACTTAGGCCACATGGGCGGAATTACAGTACTGGGAGCCAATGTTTTACAAGGCATCTCTCTACCTATACATATGATATAAATAAGCAAGCCAATGAAAGCAGGACTAATTACACATTAAGGTTACTATTCCCCCCCCCGCCCCCACCCACCCCAGAAGAATTGGGAAGGGATCCTTCTCTCCCACTTTAGATGCTGCTCGCTGTTTACAAAACCTTGAACTGTCTAGACGACACCATAAAAGCTCAGGGTCTGAACAGCTTAATTGGGTTATATTGTACACCTTCTGGTGGGCCGAAAAGAGATTTCCGCAATGTGCAATAAAGGGGATGAGTGAGAAAAGGATTTGGCTTTTTTTTTAAAGGGGGGGGGGGACTCCAACATTAAGGAAGAAGGAGTCGCTCTCTCATTCTCTTTGCGTCCATTCAAGGCCAAAGTAAGAGGAATAAAACGAAGGGGGAAAGTACCAAAATAAAACCCTAAACCAGGGGGGATGTAGGTAATTAGGGACAAAAATCAAAATTTGAAACTCTTTGGGAAGCAAAACCATACTCCTCTGCCTTTGAACTTCCAGGATGTCAAGGTCATCACCTTTAACCTTTCTGAATAATTAGGAGCCTTAAAGGTTCCTCTCTTATTTTCGACCACACCTACTCACTCTCTAGGCTTCTTTCCCCGCTTTTTGCTCACTTCCCGCCCCCCTCCCCACCTCGCAGACACGCAGATGAACGTACCCACGCACACGCATCAACCGCAGAGCCGCCCATGCCAGCAATCCCTTCCAAAACCCAGTTTCCATTTGGAAAACCATTCTTGGGCTAATTGTTTCTCTCAGAGAACATTTTCTGTTTGTTTCAGGAGACTAATTTCTTTAAAAAGAAACAAAGGGAGGAGGAAAAGGAAACACTCCCTTAGTTTCCTGTGGCTAATTACCCCTTTCGCCTCCCAAGTATAACATTAGATTACTTCCAACCTCAAGTCCCCGCAAAAACAAACACAAAAAACCTAAGAAACCCACATTATTTGGTATCCATTTTGGTAGCTAATTGCAGAACTTGGGTCATTAAAGGGTAAAGAAGGCTTAAAGAATAAATATTAGGGTGAGAGGGAGAGCCGCAACCCAGGGCCCTTCCACACAGCCCTGTATCCCAGAATATCAAGGCAGAAAATCCCACAACATCTGCTATAAACTGGATTATTTGAGTCCACACTGCCATATATTCCAGTTCAAAGCAGATAATGTGGGATTTTATTCAGATGTGTGGAAGGGGCCCTAGAATTCATTCCTGGATGTCTTTGAGGTATGAATGAGATAGATAGATAGATAGATAGATAGATAGATAGATAGATAGAAGATAGACAGATAGATGGATAGATAGGTAGATAGATACAACATAGATAGATAGATAGATAGATAGATATTACAACAACAAGGCATTTATATCGATAATGTGTTGTCGAAAGCTTTCATGGCCGGAATCACTGGGTTGCTGTGAGTTTTCCGGGCTGTCTGGCCATGTTCCAGAAGCATTCTCTCCTGACATTTCGCCCACAACTAGGCAAGTGAGGTTTATATTGATTATAATTTTCAAACAGCGATTTTCAAACCTCGAGGTTTGTACCGAATAGGAAATATTTGAAATAACAGCCTTTTTTTTCCTTAAATAATTTTCTAGGAAGGAAAAATCGTGTTTTTATTAGAAAAAAACGATATTTATCAATTTTCTTTTTCACCTGGGTAAAAATTTGAGTTATTACCCTTCCAGACACCTGAAGCAGGTTTTTCTCTATCAGTGTTACATGTATATTTCGATCAGAAAACACGCCAAATATTTATTTTAATAATTATTTTAAATTTTCCTGCTACTGGTGTGTCTGTGCATTTATAAAAATCGATTTCTACATGGCTAAACTTTCTTTTAAGGAATGAAAAAAATCCCCCATCGCCCATATGTGAGAAAAATGAATAGGAAATGGAAATAATCCCAGCCATAATGATCTTTCAAAGACATGTCTGGGTGCCCTTTTGCTAAATTCCACAAGAGGGCGCGCTCATATTCCGGAATGCATAATTGTCTTGATGTTCAAGTGTATTCTCCCCCGCCCCCCTCCTTCCACCCCGCAATACTCCTGCAACTAATAAAATATCTAATATATAAGCAACTATAAGATTTCAGGGCTTTGGAAAATGAGAAAATAGAGCATAAAGAAGATTTATGGAGCAAGTAACTCATAACTATGACACGAACAAGGCGTATTTCATTAAAAATATTTGGGGTCATAATCTTTTACAATTTGATGCATAGGATTATTCTCCCATTTTAAGGAAAGGGTGAGTTTATCTCCTGTATTTCCTCAGCAGAAGCAAACACTAATTGTTTCTTTTTAAAGTGCAGTCGCAACAGCCAAAGAATATCAATGCCAGCGGCGACACTTGGAGACAAGGCTTCCTTTCCATGAAGCAAGCAGATCATAACCCGTTTGAGACAATCTAGTCAGGGTTTTTAGGAAATCATTAAGGGGGAAATGGGTTTACGAGATTTTTTGGAAGTTTATTTTCTTTAAAAAAAATAATAAAAAGTAGCAACTACAAGGAACTAAGCAGTTCTTTTACAAAAATGAATATTATCTGGTCACCTTGACCCGTTATTGAAAATGTGCATTTTATTCCCCTTGCAGATAGAAGACAAAGGGAAGGATATTTCCCACCAAGACTTTAAAGTGTTGTTTTGTTTTTTGAGGAAGGAAAAAATTTCCTCTGAATTTAGGATCTGTTTTGGAAAACCTTTCTTTGCTCCAAAGATGTCCTTTTTCCAGGAAAGGAAACACACACACAAAAAGACCAAAATTGCTTCAAGGTGGGCTTTCTCCGCCTTTTCTCGGCGAGGATCCCTGTCTGACAAACCAGACACATTCAAAGTCATTTCTGGGAAAGGAGCTGCGGGCTCTTTGTTTTTGAAGAGCATTCCTTTGGTCTGTTTTTGTTTGGAGAAGTTCATTGTTACCCAGATACCTAGAAAGAGTCCTCTCCGCCCCAAATAAATACTAAGAGACACAAAAAAAGCCTAGAGCCGGGGTCTTGAAATGATCTTTTGGCTGCTGAAACCCAGAATCAATGGCACTTTGTCCTAAAATGAATTTATTTTGAGAAAGGATAGAGAAAAGGAGCCAAATGTTTGCTTCCCCCTTCTCCCCCCCCCCCCCGTTTAAATTCGGAGCAGGTCTTGAAAAGATAACAGGAGGATGAGAGGTTTATACCAGGGCCTTCCTCAAAGAAAAGCAGCTTTGTTGTTGGAGCGAAATATGTCTTAC